CCCATACATCTTGTGGGAAAACTGAGCCTTACTTTTGATACCCTCTTTGGGGTTTACAGCACACTACAGTATACCCTCTTTGTCTGTAGAGTTTGGAGCTCATTACTGTACACCCTCATTGGAGTTTATAGCTCATTGCAGATAATCCTCTTTGGAGCTCATTATAGAGTATCCCTCTTTAGAGTTTAGAACTATTTATAGTACACCCTCTGAGTAGGCATATTCTCGTTGCTTGAGCGGTGTTGTATGTGGGGTATGATTGCATTTTAAATTGTTTTAAAATTACCCATTTCTTTACCTCCGTAGTGCCCTTGTTTAGTTCCGAGGTCTCAAGCGGTCATTAGAGTAACCAAGACACTATCATTCGAGCTTGCCAATCGGCCAATGATTATTAAACTAACCTCAGCTTTGTGAACACAAGTTCCATAGTAAACTTAGTTGTGGTATGAGTTGGTTTTTTTCAAATTTAATTTTCCTTCCAGCTCAGGGAGCTGAATCATACAAACGTGGTACAGGTGATGGGAGTCTGCATTGAGGACAATCTCAAAGTGTTGGTTACAGAGCATTGCGTCAAAGGTAGTCTCCAGGTAATGGGAACATAGTCTATTTCATGGAACGCTACCGGGTCTGAGATTTGTGATAGATTGTTATGGGGAAAGGGTGTGTGTTGCCCAAATATAGTGTCACTTAGTTTATTGACATCCCCTTATGGGAAGCTGGGCTACATGACTTAATGAAGGCGATCTCAATAAGTATACACAAAATCTAATAAAAAGAAGCGACGGTGATTTGATAATCTGGCAAATACCTTTTATACATATTTTATATATTTTAAAAAATTAAATTAATACTACGAAAATCATGACTACGCTAATCTGTATGTGATACCTGTTTTAATTTATATAGGCCCCATTTTTCACCAAAGATTGGTATTTCGTGTCAGCCAGACGAACAGGTATGACTGGTGTTTGTTTGGGAGGGTGACAATAGCGAAACGAAAATAGTTTGCTGAGTGTGATGTTACAGGGCGAAAGAAAGAAATTGATTGGCGATACCGTGAGATTTGAGTGAATGTAGGGCTGTAAGATTGAGTAGACGTGGACTCCATAAAACGTATGGATAGTGAATGGGCTGTGTGTGTACCAGGGTTGCCAATTGGGCTTTTTTGACGCCAGATTCGCGAAATCTGGCTTTTTCCCGACTTGGTTGGCTTAAGATAATTCGTTTGGCTTTTTAGCTTTTCTTTGGCTTCTTTTACATAGTTTCTGGAAAATTACATAAAAATCTCTCTTAAAATACTTTTACTCTAAAAACATTTTACTCTCAATAAATGGCAAAAATACAAAGACAGCTGCCATTTTCTACTTGCCAGTTGTCGCGGGCCGCTTAAAACCAGAAACTACGGTACACGCAGGTTAAACTTTGAGTGACAGCCTGACAGGTTGATTCCAAAGTGTTAGGTTCACAAACAAAAGATAATGTGATTCTAATTCATAGACACATTTTTAACGATTTGTGAAGTTTAATTTAAATAGATCATTTGGTAGAACTGTGTTTTCGTATAATAAAACAAAATTATTCTCACCGATGGCCTCCTCATCAAAGAAATGGAAAGCTTCTTATGATTTATGATAGCCATCGTAAGTACAATAGTAATTGGGAAAAAACATTCGTATGGCTCAAGAAAAGAAGGCTTCTGATGGATCCGAGTCAGCCTTTTGTAAAATTTGTCACTGTACTATTATACCAAGAATAAGTAACCTCTCAAATCATGAAAAATCTGCAAAACATAAGATTAGATGAGAACGCCATCAAAAAACCAAGCCCAAGTTAATGTAACAAAGAGTCCTAAACCAAGCAATGATAAGCAATGATAAAGTTAAAGCAGGAGAGCTGCAAATTGCTGTAAGCATGACCTGCCATTGTGCAATACGTACAATTGACCACCTGAGTGAAATCATGATAGCACATGGTCAAGGAAGTACATTGGGGCACATAAAATTGCACAGATCTAAATGTAGCTGCAAATTGCTGTAAGCATGACCTGCCATTGTGCAATACGTACAATTGACCACCTGAGTGAAATCATGATAGCACATGGTCAAGGAAGTACATTGGGGCACATAAAATTGCACAGATCTAAATGTTCATGCCTAATAAAAAAAACGTTATATCGCCTGCGCTGAAATCTGATCTCATTGATAATCATTGATGACTTTCGGGATAAAAAATATGCACTCATTATAGATGAATCTACTGACGTTTCCACACAAAAATACTTGTGCATTTTAGTTCGTTTTTTAAGTGATATTAAAAAGGAAATTGTTACTGGATATCTTGGTTTAATTCCTGTGCAAGAGGCTACAGGAGAAAACATATTTAATTTGGTTGAAGAGGAAATCAAAAGATGTGGTCAGAGTCTTACAAATTGCATTGGGTTTGCATCAGATGGTGCGTCAAATATGGTGGGGTGCAAGAACTCTGTCTGGTCTAGACTGAAAGATGTATCGCCTTACTGTGTACAGCTCAAATGTATTTGTCATTCCGAACGTGAAACGTAAATAGTACGCCATTGGTTCGATGGTAGTTCATATGGATTTTTGCTCTCAGAAATACCTCAATGGTTTCGCCATAGTGATTTAAGACGGGAAGCATACAAAGAATTGTTTAGAGTTATGAACACACCTACGGAATTTGAGTCAACCCGAACTGCTCCACTTCCCTTTGAAAAACCTTCATCTACTCGATGGCTTGTACGTGGGAAGGTTATGTTTAACATTTTGATAAATTGGGAAGAACTGAAGGTTTATTTCACTAGTGCTGAATTAGCTCAATCAAACTTTGACACAAAATACAAAGCAAGATTGTTAAAGGAAATGATGTTAGACTACAAAAATTATTTGTTCTTTGTCTTTGCAACACCTGTTGTGCAGGAATTTGAAAGACTAAACAGTATTTTTCAACAAACCAAAGCTGATCCTCATGAATTGTATCAAGAATTATTCTTACATCAGAAAAGTCTTCAGAACAGACTGTATGATGTTAATGGGCAGAAAATGCAAATTAGTGAGATTGATTTTGGTATTAAATTCTTAACACAATGTAATAGGTTACTTCAAAAAAACAACAGTATTGAGGCTCAGCTGGAAATAAACAATGTCAAAGAAAGATGTATATCCATGTTAGAAGAAGCTCTAAATCAAGTTACATGTAGACTTCCATCAGCAAAAGATGTATTTCAAAAGCTATCAAAATTGAGTTATATGATAATTTTAAATCAAGTTGCAAGGACCGCATTTTCAGAATTACCTTTTATATACCTGGCTGAAAACAACATCAGTATTATTAAAGAACAATACAGAAAAATACTTTTTGTTGATGGAAAAAAGAACCTGCATTTAAGAAAGATGGAGTTCCAAAAGACAGTGAAAAGTTTTGGATTGGCGTGTTGCAACATCAGGCATTTAAAGAGCTCGCCTCTTATGCCCTTACTTGTTAGGGAACCCCAGTTAGGAATGCAGTAGTTGAGAGGATATTCTCTCTTGTCACCACAGTAAAAACGAAGGCAAGGAACAGAATGCAACTGAATTCACTTGATGCTATTGTAAGAATCAGGGCTGAACTATTGCTGTCAGGCAAATGCTGTAAAGACTTAAGCTTTTACAACTGACAATGTTTATGGCATAGGATCCGCTAGTTACATAACTTCCAGTGAGGATGAGAGTAATGAATATGATTTAGAGCTTTTTTTGTAATGTGAGTATGCAATATATTTTCAAATTTATTTGTTTTTTTTGTGGCTCTTTTCTAATACCATCTGGCTTAAAATCGAAATTTTAACCTGGCAACCCTGGTGTGTACGCTAATCGGATAGTGGTCAGTGTGCTAGATCTAGAAACGAGTTATCGAGTTGTTGTTGTGTGTTTTTTTCCCTGGAGTGAAACGCAGTATGTTTATAAGAACCATTGTATTTAAAGAAAGCCTTGTTTTTGTAGAGAATAATATTATAGTTGACTACATAGCATTTTAAGTTGATGTTCTTTGGCATTTTTGCTGATCCGGTGCACGACAAGTTACAAATGTTTTTTTCGCGCCCTGCAATTTCAAGAAGGCTTGCTTAGACTTAGAGTGCCTTGCCTTAGACTAGACTTAGATAGAAGTAAGTTAGAAACGCACCCTATCTCTGGACAACTTGCCGCAGCAGCTGGTAGGCGAGGGAGCGAGAGTTGGCAAGTCTGTCCTAGAATCCCATTCTCAAAGATGTGTCTCGTATGTGCACTGCAGTTTTGTATCAATCAAACATTAAGGTTCATAACGGCTTGCTTTGAATTTAGTTGGAAACGCATTTTTAGCGTCATTCATTATTTTAGCTTTTTGTTGTAAATTCCAAAAGATAGGTCCATTAAAAAAAAAAAGGCGAGTGGGGAAGGAGGTAAATTGAAATTAAAAAAGTCTGAATAAAAGTCTAATAGTCATGAATCATGAATGTTCAAATTTAAGTATTAGTCAAATTTTTTTAAAATATTGAAATCTACTTGTTCTGCCATCCATTTTCATCACTATTGACACTAACACTCTAAGAAAGACATTTTCATTTTATGTAGGTTATTTGTTTTCATGACAAAAATTATAATGTAGGCGGCAGGCCTATTTATAATAGTAATAATAGGATATAATAAACAGGTCTGAATGGGACTGCAGGATGTAGATGACCAACTCTGACATAACTTCTAGGACTCTTAGTAACTTAGGATTCATATAATATGAATATGATATATTGTGATGGTTTTATACATACATATACTAAATTACAGTAATAGTTTAAGGTCTAACATTAGTTATGATGATGTCTTCGGAACTCAAGTTTTGACGATTGTTACATTACTCATTACTCATGTATGTATCTCCCATTAGCATAGCTTCAGTTGTTATGAGAAAATTAACAAAGGCAAAGCAAAATATATTAGGATTTTCACTAGATTATTATTTAAACTGTTTTTTTACAGGATCTTTTAGGCAATGCTGATGTCACACTGGACACACAATTTAAGTTTTCACTCTGCACTGACATAATAAATGTAAGTATTAACATTTGTAATCATGTGAGCAATGTGAATGTAAGTATTCACATTGTAAACAATGAAAGCAATTAAAACATAGATCTACACATTTAAATTGATAGACCTACACATTTAAATTGTTTTAAAAAAAATATTCAAGAAGGATAAATTTGCTGTTTTATCATAATAGAATTTTGATCTTAAAAAGACCCCTCTCCACACACAGTTATCTGTTAGCCTTTTGAGTGACCCTTCACTTCCCTCCCTTGTGCTGCATAGGGTGTAGTTTGGGAAAGTCAGAAATAAATGAAAAATCTGATTAGAGGGGAGAAGACGATAAGTCTCATACCAAAGTTGTCAACATATTAATGGTATACACAAGCCAAAATAGGATACTCATGGGTACTGTTGGTGTGACATACAGTACAATGTAAATAAGAAGCATTAAAATAAGATGACAACAAACTAACATTCCAAGTGGTAGCTGATTTATTTTCAATGTTATAACAAAAAATGAGTAGAGTTCTGCAATTTCTACTATCTCTACCAGGGCCTCTGTTACATTCATGAGTCACCGGTCAAGTATCATGGTCGACTGAACAGCGAGGTGTGTTTGATAGACAACAGGTTCTCTGTCAAATTGACAGACTTGGGCCTCCCTACCCTATACAGCAGCTTCAATGTTGATGTCACCAGCCAGGAGTTTAAACACGGTTGGCAAAAAACTTAGATATTTGCAACTTTTCCCTTTGTTTGATTTCATGCTTATATTCTCCCATAATGAATTTCATTTTTAAACTTGATTACAGAATGTATGTGGAAGGCCCCAGAAGTGCTCAGGGGTGGGAGGTTCATGGCTGAGACTAAAGAGGCTGACATCTACAGCTATGCTCTAATTTTACAGGAAGTGATCACAAAGGATTCACCATACTCGGTGGAGAGTGTCTACCTGACCACAGATGGTGTGTAATGATATATAACTTAAAAAATCTGGTTTGCACACATGTATGAAAGTAGCGCAAGATAGAGAGACAAGCAAAAATGGTCATTTCACAAAGTTTTTATTCCCATTTATGACATTTTAAGTTTTTTATACTGGGATATTAAATATTAATCAGATTAATCATTTATAAAATGCGCGTCTCAATAAAAATATAACCAACGAGCATTTGTTTGATAGTTGATCAATGCTTGAAAAAGAACCAATGTAATATATATAAATATATAGTGTAATATATCCATAATGAAATAGTCCTGAGAAAAAAGCCTGAGATACTCAATTAAAAAATAAGTAGAGTAAATAATATTGTTTAAGATATTTCTTATTATAGATCTTACTTAATCTCAATCTCATTGTTTTTAATATAATTTCAGAAATCATTCAAAAAGTTCAAGCAGGAGGTAACCCTCCTTTCCGTCCCTCAACTGAACTGCCCATCAACATGAGTGGAATGCAAAGTCTCATTGAGAGCTGTTGGGCAGAAGACCCCAGGCACAGACCCACCTGTCAGTCTATCAAAGCATCAATCAAGAAAATAGCCAGGTATTTTTTCCCCAAAAAATAATTTAATTTTGTTCAACTAAGAAAAACAAAGTGCATTCTTCTTGACAATATTTGACATGAGATAGGTGTCATAGCTTGCACGTTCAAAACCTACGCCTCAAGATGTTCCATTCACTACTACCGGTACTTTATGTGAGGGTCAGTTAGTTCTCACGATACAGTTTATCTAGGACAACAAAAGCAAACTATTTTCATTAATTGTTCATTAATGACACATCAATGGGAATCAATGGCTTCATCAAAATAAAAAAGGATTCCATAGTTAAACTAAACGTTCAATAGGGATTATAATATGAATGTAAGATGTAGCACGGACCAGCTTTACAGTTTTACAAAAATGGACTTGAATGAATTTCTTGACCCTGACTCCATATCTGAGAGGGGCCACAATTTCCTATTTCGTGGGGGAAACAAAATTAAATTTGTAGGTGCATGAACATGAGCAAACAAAATCAGTTTTGCGTTAGAAACTTATTCAACTTTGTCATTTGTGTCTTGAAGGAGATTATTTGGCAATCTCATACTACTAAAGTATTCACATAATATTCTACTGATGTCTTTTAATTTTGGGGAAATCTATTGTAATGAGTTAATTCACCATTAGTTTTAAAAATCACAAACAAGAATTAAATATTTCTTAATACAACCATATAGACAACCTCAATGGTTTCAACCTGATAAAAGACAATATAAATTTAGATATAATATAAAACGTGGTATGTAATACTTAAAAAATACAACATGAAAGTGACATTAGCTTATTTAATTCATCTTGAATCCATTATTTTAAGAATTTAAGGCAATCACAAAGTTAGAAAATTTGTTTTATTACAATTTATTTTAAGTTGCTGCCCTTGCTTAGTAAAGTGGTGAATGCAAGATTTCTACAGAATTCTATAGATAGCTTGTGATTACGTTGTAAAAGAGTTGATAACCTTGCCCCCCTGCCACCTCCTGAACATTTCCATCTCATCCTAATAAATATCACTGGGACATTTTTGTCTAATTTTGAGAGCAACTGTCTTGAGTTAATAAAAAATCATTTTAGTTCCCTAGGTGAAACTGGAAGTCTTCTGGATAACTTAATGAGAAGGATGGAGATGTATGCCAACAATTTGGAGAAAATGGTAGATGAGAAAACGCGAGAACTGAGAGAGGAGAAAAAGAAATCTGAGGAGCTCCTATACCAGATACTGCCAAGGTACTTTAGTTTCAGGTGCATCAAAATATGTTTTAAAAGAAGAACAGCCTTGTTCATAAATAAAAAAATGAATGGCTGATATGGATTATTCATTAATGTAAGTCATAGAATAAAGACAAGCTATACAAAGTAAAGGATTTAGATTAAATCCAACTAAAGTGAGAAATATTAGGATTTTCACAAAACTCCTATCGACTAATATTTGTCATATTTGATACCATGACATGCAAAATAGGTTGCAAGATTTCGTTAATTCATTAATACTTAATAGTAATAGATTCCATAACTAAGAAAATTGCTAAACTGATTTCACAGACCTTTTTTTATAAATTATGTAAAGTACTGTTTTGCGATACTGAATCAGCACACTATGAACAACCTTAACAGGAGTGTGGCTGATCGCTTGAAAGCTGGTCTCAGGGTTGAACCCCAGGCTTATGAATGCGTAACAATCTACTTCAGCGACATTGTGGGATTTACACAGCTGTCAGCAAAGTCCTCACCAATGGAAGTTAGTCAATAAAAATCAACAAACCGTTTAAGTTTTCTAAAACTTGTCTCTTTTTGTCTTTGCTCTTGAAATATACAGTTAAAAAAAATAATAATTTACACCAGCAGTATTTTGATCTATTTAAAAAATAATAATTTTTCATTTCTTGATGGGATGTCAAAAAATTGACAAACTTACTTATCATGAACTTTTTTTAATATCTGTGACCTCTGTCCATCCAACATGCAATTGCAAAAGCAAAGTAAGCCTCTTAATCTTAGTTTGGAACATTAATGGATATATTTTTATCTCTAGGTAGTTGACCTCTTAAATGACCTGTACTCATGTTTTGATGCCACAATCGAAGAATATGATGTGTACAAGGTGACTGGGACAGTTTCTGAATTTTAATTACTTGATCTTATGACTATATATATATATATATATATATATATAACCTATATTGCAAAGTTGTTTATTGAGTTAACTGTCATTAAAATTATGAAAAGTCACTCTAACAGATGAAAAAAAAAAGAAATATTTAATGATTAAATATTTTTTGTTAAGAACAATCCTATTTTCATTTTTAAAATGTAACATTCTTTCTTTTTACAAATCATGTATTTTGAAAGGTGAAGCAAGGGCAGCAACTTAAAAAAATTGTACTAAGACAAACTGTCTTACATTGTTGTGATTGCCTTAAACTCTTCTTAAAATAATGGATTCGTGAAAAAATTAAATGAGCTTTTGTAATTTTTATAGTGATTTTTAAAAGAATGTTTTATAGCATGTTTTATATAATTTCACAATTTTTATTGTCTTTTATCAGGTTGAAACCATTGGAGATGCTTACATGGTCGTGTCTGGTTTGCCGCAAAAAAATGGCAACCTTCATGTTGTGAACATTGCCAAAATGGCCATTTCAGTAAATATCTTTGCTTTTGATATATAAATAATCCATATAAAATATATATATAAAATAAAAATAATATACATTATATTTTTTTTACTGTGTTAGTTTCATGTTCTTAGTTATATCTTGTTAAAAGATTTTCTAAAAATATAGTGACCTTAATACCTGACAAGCACTTTTTGTAACTTGAACCAAAAGCCTACCTCATCCCCGATGCAGATCAGCTTGCTGCTTTCTACAGGAAATAGCTTATAATTATAATCAATTCGTTATTCCTAAAATAAGTTGACCATAAGTTGTCATAAAAAAATTTAATGCAAAATATTTTTGCAATATTTTTAATGAAGAAAGAGAAAACTTTAGTCAAATGAGTCAGTAGATAGTGTTCATATTTTAGTTTAAAAGTATTGTAAAAACTGCGCCCACCACAAGATATACCTACAGCATTAGCTGATATGTTACATTAAGAAATAGCGTCAGCAGGGCGAGTCTAAGACTCTTTATGCCCCCCCCCCCCAAATTACCCCTCCCCGGTCCGACGTATCGGGCCGCGGAGCGGCACGTTGGAGATGCCCACTCGTCAGGACGGCCCCTCACCCAAGTCCCTAAGAAATAGCGTCCGCAGGGCGAGTCTAAGACTCTTTATGCCCCCCCCCCCCCAAATTACCCCTCCCCGGTCCGACGTATCGGGCCGCGGAGCGGCACGTTGGAGATGCCCACTCGTCAGGACGGCCCCTCACCCAAGTCCCCCGCCTGGGCGCTCGACCAGGACCCCGCCTGGGGGCCGCCCCAACCAGGAGGCACCCGGTCGATCCGACACTATGCAGTGCACTCGATCGACTTTCTCTAGGAGTTGGGATGGAAAAATTTACGTTCTTATATCTTCCCCCACCCATTCCGGGAAAGCGTCGGACGCCCTATAAGAGGGATTCCACAGTGGGTTTCCACAACGTGACTAGTTCACGCTGTAGCTGGGACGAAACGGTTGCCTAGGGGCAGCGTTCTCACGGCTGCATTTTTTTAATCCTCGGCCAGAGGTTACCACCCTTGCCTCTGGCCTCATACCCGTCAACGGCAACTTGTAATCATGATCCCTACCCTGGCTCTGCCTAACTTTCCGACTGCGAAATGTCACAACCGGCAGCCCTGTGGGAGCTGTTTTATGCACGGCAGGTACCAGCACACCCTTTGTCTGCCCACGCGGGGTGTGCCCAGTAGTTTGTTTCCAGGGAAAGAAAATTATCAGGAGTAACTAAATATGTGTTCTAAACTAAATATTGTTGAAGTAAAGAGCCCTAAATGTTTACAATATGGATGAATTTGTTAAAATATATTTTCTACAGGTGTTAGAAAATATTTCTGAATTTAAAATCCGCCACCTGCCAAGGGAGAGATTACAAATTCGAATAGGCCTGCATTCAGGTAATACATACAAGATTCTATTGGGGAAAGAATTTTCAGTTGAACGTCAGAAAACATAATTTAAAATCTTTATCTATTTTGTTAAATTTGTTAAACTAATTTAAAGCTTTTACAAGTTTTTGTCACAAGAAAATATTTGAAATCAAACTGGCGCAAATGAGATTAATAAGTGATATTTTTATTTCATTCATCATTGCTTCCTTTACAGGTCCAGTATGTGCTGGTGTTGTTGGCCTGAAAATGCCAAGGTATTGTCTTTTTGGTGACACAGTCAACACAGCATCTAGAATGGAGTCTAATGGTCGAGGTGATTAATTACTACCCTTATTGTTTACATTTAGTAGGTCATAATTGCTCTGAGTTAAAGATGATTCGGTATTAACCGCATTTACCTGAAATCTTGTTGATGTGCCTGTTGTACAATCTGTTTGAAGATATTTATTGATATGCATCATGGCTGTATCAAATCATAACCACATAGCAAACTCTAAATCTTGGGCTAAGTAAAAAAGATAGGTAAAACTATAAATAAAAATAATGATAAGTGGGTAACACTATAAATGAGCATGATACGTAAAGCCTTATTTCCTTAGTGATATATGTGATTTTTAAATGATCTTTGGAAGATATTTATTTTAGATATTTTAATGTTATTTCTATTTAAAATTATCTATATTTATTTAGTTTATATTTTACAGGAACAAAAAATTATAATAGGCTAATATACATTGCCTGAATTTTATTTTGCAAAGCCATGATGATTCATATCAGTCCTTCGTGTAAAAAGCTCTTGGAACAGTTTGGCACTTTCCATATTCAACCAAGAGGACGCATTTCTATAAAGGTGATTTGCTAAATAGGTCGTTTCATCAATTAATTTAATTCATCTGTTGAAAGTGGAAAAATATCTCTGTAAACCTGGTATTCATTTATATATTTTATTCATTTATATATTTAAAACAAAAGCTGTATAACTTTTGAAGCATTGAAACAGTTTTGTGATACACTTTTGAAGCATAGAAAAAGTTTTGTGATACACCTTTGAAGCATTGAAACAGTTTTGTGATAAACTTTTGAAGCATTGAAAAAGTTTTGTGATACACCTTTGAAGCATTGAAACAGTTTTGTGATACACTTTTGAAGCATTGAAACAGTTTTGTGATACACTTTTGAAGCATTGAAACAGTTTTGTGATACACTTTTGAAGCATTGAAACCGTTTTGTGATCTACCTTTGAAGCATTGAAACAGTTCTGTGATACACTTTTGAAGCATTGAAACAGTTTTGTGATACACTTTTGAAGTATTGAAACAGTTTAGTGATACACTTTTGAAGCATTGAAACAGTTTTGTGATACACTTTGGAAGCATTGAAACAGTTTTGTGATACACTTTGGAAGCATTGAAACAGTTTTGTGATACACTTTTGAAGCATTGAAACAGTTTTGATGCTGAATCCTTACAAATCTTAAGTACTGATTTTCTACAATAAATTTTATGTTTTCCCTGAAAAAATATTTTAATATATACCCTTAATTTTGAATTATTAATTAAATGATTAATTTGGAAATACATGTGAAAATATGCCAATAAAAATATAAAATTAAGTTATCTTGACTTCATCTTCAATTTCCAATATTTTAAAAATGTTTTAAGGTACGGTAGATTTGTATAAGAAAATCTGAACATGTGAGCTATCCCATAGTGACAGCACCTGTTTTGTCTAGGCAGTGGGCTTATATGTTCTTTTGTGAAAATTTTTGTCATTTTCTATTTTGATGATTGATCATGATTACTATGTTTGTGCCTGATGATTGATCATGATTGCTATGTTTCTGTGACTGATGAATCATCATTACAATGTTTCAACTAATGACTCAAACTCAAAATTCTGTTGAACACTAAGCTGAAACAAAATAATGAATATGACATTGTGCACACTTTTGTGTTGTATATTAACAAAAACTAAAGTATATCTCTACAAGGATAAGCTGGCTATTATGTCTATATTTTATAGACTTTAATGACAGATTTTTTTTATATATGCTATAATTAGGTGAGTTTGTTATTTTCCCCTTCTAAATCATATAAACGGGTCTTTGAATTTAAAAAAAAAAAGGTCTTTGAAGCTTTGAGATATATCTGTAAATTTTTTACCTTGAATTCTGTATGAACTCTGCCACTTCTAAGGGGAAATTGCGGTTGATGCTTAAATCACATTTGAATTGGAGTCTATTTTTAAATCCCATACATAAGTTAAAATAATTTTAAACAATTTTTGTTAAATATTAATAAATTGTCTTTTTAAACCGTTTGTGTCAAGAAATCACCCACTGATAGAAACAGGCAGTTACCGGATCCTGGAATAGAGATGACGTTGTACAAAAACCCGTCAAGAGACAAGATACTATCATGCATTTTATAACAAATACTTAGGAATCACCTTAGCAGTACAACAAAAATAGCATTACTTTCCTGTACCAGGTTACGGAAAAGATTCACAGGCCCACACTTGCCCAATGAGAAAGGACGGCCCATGATCCAGATCTATGTAGTGTCCAGCTTTAGAACAAAGATGTGTTTGTCACCTTGACATTAAAAAAAAATCCTTTCTAAAGAACAAAGATCAATCTATTTACCACATTTCAGATGTCACGCATGAAGCTAGCTGCGTGACAGCCTTTCTTTTAAACGCAGTACTATTATTGTAAAACATGATGAGTGGGGGGGGGGGGGGGGTTTGGAAGAGGAAGCAGGACGCACCGGAAGTAAAATATATGTAAGAGGTTACTATTCCAGCTTATCATTGTTTCTGTTCCATTTAGTGAAAAAGTACACATTTACAGATATTTCCACTCCCATATAATTTTGTGCCGGATTAATCATCACAAATTAAGCAGGGTTTTCAAAATTTGAATTTTTTTTAGATTAAAGTTTCTTGGTAGTTTTGTATTTTAAAAATTTATTTCTTTGAGGACACAACAAAAACTCCGCCACAACTGTTGAGATGATTGAAAATAATGTTCCAATATTATTGTGAACATTTCACACATTTATGTTGTGGGATTAAATCAAATATCAGGTTAATTGATACTTTATAATTTAATCTTTGTTTTCTTTTCTTTAGGGTAAAGGGGACATGTTTACATACTGGCTAGTTACATCTGATAGGAAGGAGCGAGATATCATTGTGAACAGTGAAGAGGATTGATATGAAAAGTATTCCTAAAGCCTGCATATTTTCCCTTATTTTATTTTAAGACATATCACAGATTAGAAAAGTGTATAGCATAATTTTAGTATGTTTATAAATGGGAAAAGTGTATAGCATAATTTTAGTATGTTTATAAATGGACTTATGAATTTATGGGGCCTTTCTTCCAAAGTTCTTGAAGATTCCAAACAATTGTTTATTTGTTTTATATATTTTTCCACATAAATGCTACCAGCATATATCTTTGGCTAACAATTAAAAGCTATGTAGACTTATTGTTAGGCATTCAATTATTTTTAGCATCTTCAACTCAGGGCTATTATAAAATATATTTTATATTATTTTTAATCATACCTAAACTAGTTTAGTTTCATGTATGTTTTTAAAAATTTTAAAAAAAATAATCTTTTTAGAATGTTAAGGTCTATTAATTATAATTACTGGTACTGTGATTATGTCATTGTAATTTAGTGTACTGGTTGTTATAGGCAAATTAACATTTGTGAAAGAACAACGAATACATCATAAAATAAATAGACTGTTGGCAATGCATTGGTGCATAGTTTATTTTTTATTAATTGAAAAAGAAAAGCTACCTATTTATATGTATAAAAACAATAAAGTGTTCACTTGGTATTGGTATTAAACTACTATCACTGATACATTTTTTATATAGATGGTTGTAATTAACTGCTAACTGGATAAGCAGTTCAATGGCTTCATTACGTCTAGGGATGATTATTAAACAAATCCATGATCAATATTTCATATGGTTCTTTATTGAAAGCAGCATGTCTTCTTTCATCCGCTTACTCTCTGCAAATCCCTTACTTGCAAAAAAACCATAGCAATGACAAGTTCATCTCTCATACTCAAATATGTCACAAATTCAAAGCACATAGTAACAGCTATGCAATCTCCACACAAAAACATGCACTCATAAAACACAAAAAATTATTAACGATGGTTTTAATTTTTACTAAATATTTGTTTGTTATCAGAACTATTATTTATCAACCATTGTAAATAAAAATAATGATGAAGTTACAATGTAAGCAATGATTTTTATGTTTGCCTTAAAATGTACCTTTATGTTTAATATATATAAAAATAATTAATTCATTTAAAAATAATTAGATTACAAAAATTAGACTAGATATCTAGGTTAATTTTTTAAAACTGTTTAAGTATAATTTGCATATGAATTATTTTTTTTTCCCCCCAAATTTTAAACCAGTTTGTTTTTACTAAAATCTTTACATTACTTTATTGTCTCGTTTTTATAAGATTTCAAAAAGTTAAACAATGCAAAGTACAAAAACTAAATAAAAAGAAACACTGAAAATGCTAGAAGATCTTGTTTTATATTATTGTTTTCCTCTGATCAAGAAAGTAATATGACACAAACTAAACATCCTTCACTTGAAGAACTATTTGAAGAAAAATGTTGTTGAAAATTATTTATTTTTTAAAAATTTGGATGATACATCCCACACTCTTCATCACAGATACCTAAGATCAGCTCGATCAGGGCAAATTCTTTCACTTAAAGTTAGGACTGAAAGATATAAAAATTAATTTGTTTCACAGTCTGTAATAATTTACCAGCATGCAACTCCAGTGGATATGAGATCTAAATAATCACTAATTAATTCATTATTGTCACTAAGAGAGGTCATCTTTTTGATATATAATTGCTGATTTTTACATTAGAGAAATACTTTAGATGTCTTGTGTTAAAATGGTTCTAACTGTAAAATGTTGTCTTGGTTAAAATATGTATTTATTTATGTGCTGAAAATAAATATGTAAAATTTAATCAATAAAACATTTCCTATTATTTGAATCAATAAAAGAATCTTATATCTTATGATGTTCATTTTTTCATTTGGACAAATTTTTTGTAATGATTACAAAAAGATTAAAAAAAATTCTTTTCAGGATTTAAGGTTTTATTACTTATTTTGATTATGTAATTTTAATTTAGTGTATTGGCTACTATAGGAAAATTAACATTGCTAAAAGAACAACAAATACATAATAAAATACATACAAATACAAAGAAAACTGTTTGTTATGCATTTGTGCATTGTTATGCATTTGTGCATTGTTATGCATTTGTGCATGTCTTTTTTTTATTTAAAAAGAAATCATAGCTATTTGCTTTACATGTATAAAAACAATGAAATGTTCACAAGGTATTAGTTTTAAACTACATTATCTAATAAATTCTCAGATATATTGTTTTATTTTATATATTCATTTTCAGCACATAAATAGCAAACTACCACATTTATTCATTCAAATAGACTAAATAGAGGTTAACAATTTTTTCTTAATTTAAAAGAAAAAGAAGAGATAGCCACCTTAATTTAACATTAAAAGTATGTTCAAGTCTTATTTAGTCAAATTTAGTGGCTAGTTTTTTTGAAATAGTTAAATAAGGGCAGAGACATGCATTTCAACATTTTTTAATACAAATATTTTAAAAGAAAATTAGATGAGTACCAAGGTGTTTTAAAATATCTGTGAGATTTGACAGTAAGAGAAATTTATCAACATTCATAAATGAAAAATTTTGTGACATACAGTCTTTGCACCAAGAGGTTGATGTTTAACACTTATGCATTGTCGCAGCCCCCT